ATTATGATATATTATGATCGAATGACGTTACGTTAGTTAAAATTCATTATTATGTTATCTACAATTTTAGATAAATTTTTATCATACTCTTAATTCAATATCAGTTAATCTTGGATTATCTTGATCATTGCAAGCTTTTATCATAAGTTCTAAAAGGTCGCCATTAGATCTTCCAGCGGCTATAGATTTATGTTTCTTTTCAATCATTTCATCAAACAACTTTTCCAATCTCTCAACCTTACTAAGACGTTTATTCCTAAAATACGGAATGCGATCTAATGGAAGAAGTGTAAATACCATACTTTTAAGTTCTTCCTGAAGTTCATTATATGCTATTACATAGTCATTGGTTGGTTCTTCAAGATTCTAATTCAAAGATCAATTAGAATTAATAAGTGATTTATTAAATATTTACACATAAAAAAATTGTTTATATATACATTAAAGTCAAAATCAAAGACAGTTTTTCCAAGAACATCCATGGTAAATCTAAAAAAAAATTATTTTAAAATATTTAATATATCAAATGATTTGCCTTTAGTGTTTATTTTACTTATTACCTTTGCATAAGTTCCACAACTTCAATAGGCTTATTATCAATTTGTTCCAAGATATTCATCAATTTTAATCCTGTTTCAACGAATAAATGTACAGGCAAAACCTTAAATGCGAGATTACATATACGTCTAAGAAAAATAAAATTTATTAATACATAATTCAAGAAAGAAAATAACGTTTTTAGGTTGCTAATTCATGTGTGTATAAAATAAAGCACCTCTGTCGTTTCCAAACCTAAAAGGTGCAAATTAATCAGAAATACATAAATAATTAACATAAAAAATGTTTAATTATGCTTACATCACCATTAGAATGAAAAACATTAATGCCGTAATAACGCGAAAGTGCAGAATTTGGTAAAAATTCCTCAAAAGTAAGTTTTGGAAAAACGTCTATGAACCAATTTAAAGCGTTCTCAAATTAAAATTTGAATAAGCTATGTTAATATCGATTAGTTAGTAGATCACATACCAGGTCGTAAGAATATATCTTTTACAAAAACTGGATCTGATATTAGACAAAACCACTTTCCCCTAATTTGAAACTACATAATAATAGATAGTTTATTTTTTTTAAATTAAATTAATGTATGTTTTTTTCCTTCCATAAACAAAATAAAAAACATTACCTTTATAAGACCATCATTATCAAGATAATTCTGATTCATTAAATAAAACTTATGAGAACCTAGATTATTTGTAAATGCGGCTTTTAATGTGCTGAAAGTTGTAACCGTATGAACATCTTTAAGACCATCTGGAACTTTAGGATTTA